GTACGGGGCACACGGGGCGCGCGATACCGCGTGCGCCGAGGATTAGGAAAGCCCGATGGCGCGCGCATGTGAGGCGGTCGAATAAGTTGGGGCGGCGACTAGGAGATTCTAGAATTGCTTGGTGTGCAAGCCAAACAATAGTATTTTGGTAGATTTAGGATTTTATTGCTTTCTAGTGTTAGGATTTCTATTATTGCAAGATTTTTGAGATCTAGTTTATTTAGGCTTAGATTTAATTTATGCACCTATAAATACCCCATGTACCTCATCATATTTTACAAGTTGAATTGAGTATTGAACTGGTGAGCCAATCTTGAGGGGGAACTGATGTTCTTAACGTGTGTTTAAACAAGGCCGTTAGTGCGTGTTTACATACAGTGTCGCAGAGAAGGCCATTAGAGCGTCTTGAAGTCACAGTGTCTAGGAGAAGGCCGATAGTGCGTCTGTTAGATACACCTATCGTGGATAAACGAAGGCCCTAGTGCGTGTTTATTCACAACCTGTATAGAAAACAACACGATCCGTCATCATTGGTGCTTTCATTGAGAGGTACTGATCGTGTGATTATCCATCTATCTTTTTTCTTTTTTCGGTTTTGCCTTTTGCTGAGGGGGCCGATTTTTTGTTCTTTTTGTTCGAAAATTTTCGAATTTTCTATTCGAATTTTTCAATTATTTTTCGTGTCTTAAAAAAAAGTGTCATCTTGTTAGTCTTTTGTTGATTTTTGTTTCAGTTATTACCTTTTGTTGAGGGGCCGAATTTCTCTTTGTTTTATTTTTTTATTTTTGGGTTCGAATTTTTTAGAATTTTTAGAGTAAAAAAAAAATGTCTTACCCACCCTTGGATGAGTTAGATTGGGAAGATCTTGAGATGTTGGAAGGTTTGGAAAGAGAGCTCACACCATGGGAAGCAACATATCTTGATGAGCTTCATGAACGAAGGAATATTGAAGAGTACGAGCGTTAACTCATGGAAGCCCGAGAAGCGATGGTGATCGATGCTCATGATCATGAGGATGAAGGGGAGCTAAATTTTCTGATCCTTGAGGACAAGGAAAGTCTTGAAGAGGAGGGGAATTATACGGAAGTGGTCATCAACCCAGGCGAGTCAGAGGATGAGGGTGGCGATGGGCTCGATATTTGGCAAGAAAATATATTGGAGAAGCCATCTAGTCCTATTCACCGGCCATCATGTGTAAGAGATTGGCCAAAAATTTGTGGCCCAAAGATGGAATCGAAGGTAAGGAAACGGACGGCCAAGAGGCGACGCAAAGCAAATGCTCGAAAAGCAAGTCAATGTTGGTGCAAGCCTTGTGCGAGGAAAAGGCGAGTTCG